CTTTATTTTAATGTTAATAGTTGGTTAATTTTTATTTCTTTTGTATGTGTTTGTTTTGTTGTCTCCTTACCTCCCATTAGAATTTAAGGACTTGGCAAAGTCTGAGTTTGGTTTGTTTTGCATATGTATGGAACTTGTAAAGCAAAGCAATACTGAAAGTACATTGGTAGGAAGAAATACAAGAGTTAAAAAATATGATCCTACTCTTAACTTAAATGGGGAGATAACATGCTCTCCCTAAGTTGAGAAGACAATGGAAAGACAGCCCACAAAATTAAATACTTGATGGCATGCTATAGCAAATGTCTTTCAGATTTTTTTTTGACTTGAACTGACAATGAGAAATTGACTTTATACCATGACTCAGTGTGTTACCCAGTGAGGCCCATTTTGCTCAAAACACACTATGCCAATCACTTAAATAAGTTTTGTGAAAGACAAAGAGTTTATTCACAAGGAACCAGTTGTGGAGAGGCAGGAACCCCAATTCTCTGAGGATAGAGTTAGGGATATTTATGGGATAAAATTGTTGAATAGTCTGAGGCATGGGGAAAGGGACTGGAGGCAGGGAAGAGTGAAGTAATCTGTGGTCTGAGCATGTAGTAAACGTCATGGTTCTTCATAGGATGTATGTTCAGAAAATGGCTGTGTCAGCATGATCTAAGGGTGGAGCTTTTGGCCCTCTGAATTCAAAAGTTTACCTCTCAGATAACTGTGAGGCTCAGGTGAAAGGTTAATAGTTTCGAACCAGTTTGAGACAGACAAAAGCAGCCTCCAGTTCCTGAAAAACTACTTAATTATTGTCATAATGACCACACATCAGAGGTGTTACTGGTAGCAAAGCTAATATGGTCTACTATCTAGCTGTAAGACCTCTAAAATTGGTGATCAAAGCAAGTAACTAGTAGCAAGTAAAGCCGGACTGTCTATTCATGTTTTTTCTTGATTTCAAGTATATATATTCAGACACGTATGTGTCCATTTGCAGATTTGTGCATAAACTACTTTTTACAAATTAATTAGGTTTTTTTTAACTTATATTCAACAAGACCATACCTGATTTCTGAATGCAATGCATTGCATATAGAGTAGATATTTCAAAAAATTCTGATAGAAAACTTTTTGATTGATTTCACAACCCACCAACAGAACATGACTCATAGTTTGGAAAACACTAGAACAGCAGGTAGTACGTGCAGGGATTATGTATAGTGAAGGAAAGAGTATGGAGTGGTGGAGTCCAGGGAATTCTGTCTTAGACGAGTTTTTGATCTATGTCTTGTCCTGTTGGGAGTATGGGGTCTAAGACCATGTTGATGCAGAGGTGGTCAAAGAAGACACAAGTTGAATAAATAGCAAGTTCAGGGGTCACAGAGAATGGAATTGTAACCCTTTGCTATAACATTAAGAAATAAAGTAAAAATCACAGCTAAAGAGAATTTGAGGGACAATATTTCAGAAAAGTAATAGCATAGGATATTGACAACTTCATAGTCAGAAAGCAGATTTATGGCATTTAATTAACTAATATTATTATTTGCACTAATATTTCATTTTAAAAAAAGTTCTTATAAACACAATAGTCGTTATTCTTCAAAGAAAATCTGTGAGCATAGAGAGGCTGTTTCCAGAAGTCACTGATGCACAGAGATAATATACATTGTTCAAGATACATTTATTTGAAGTGACTTTTTGGGCACATCAGGCTTTAGCACCTTTTAGCTTGTGTTTCAGTTTGGGACAAATCTTGTGTGTATTACTGTGTTGTCTCCAGAATTCCTTCTGAGTACTACACAATTTTAAGGAATGAAATAAAGAAATTCTGAGAACTGGAAGAAATGATCGTGGTAGATAATTAAATGGAGGCCTCAAGGTGAGGAAGGTGGAGTTGTAGAGGAAGATCATGAGTTAATGTGGCCCATTTTGATACTCGGTGTCTCACCTCTTGTTCTGTCTATAAGTATACTTAACACTTTGTTGCATACTATAACCCTGGCCCAAACTTAGCTGACACCAAGAACTCAGAAGATAGGCACAAAACGTCACAGGAATAAAACTAGAGCACTGAAACAATGACCCTTTATTCTAACCCAGCTCTGAAAATTGACCCATCCCTTTTCTCAAATGTGTAAGTTATTTACCTTCGAGGGTCTTGATTTGCGTTGCTGTGCTTTATTTTTGTAGAGAACTGGGTGACCAGGATGATGAAGTTTAAGGGAAATAAACCTCATGCATATTTTTTAAAGTGTTTTTCAGAGCATGTACGTTGATAGGGGAATTAAAGAATGAGAAGCCAAGTGTAGACGTACTGAGCAGAGTTTCCTGTTTTCTAGAAGCATCCCAGGGGAAAGATCTGCTTCACCATTCACCAAGGTTTGTTCTTTCAGTAGGTTCTCTCTCTCTCACCTTCAGAAATGGTGGGAAAAACAGAAAGAACAAAGCCACGACAGCTGAAGTACCAGATAGTACATGGAATGTGGGAGATGGTGTCCTTTAACTCCACCTAACTTTTGTTTCTAGCATCTTGATTTTAGTGCATTTTCTTTGTAGCAATAAAACCGGAACTATGGCCCTTGCATCAGATTTGACTAAGGCCAAAAATAAATTATCGTGGTTGAGCATGGAAGAAGTGCCCAGCCTCTCCTTCCTCCTTTTCATTTTGTTGCAGTTTGAATGGAAAGGAGGTGGCTCGCACAATTAACAAGAATGCAACTGCCTGGATGTCTGTGTGTTTTGAGCCAATTATGATCTTTTTGTGGGAAAGTGTCCAATTGTCAAGGCTCAGTTACGTAGAGGTGGGAGGCAGCTGGTGTGAATGTCTGTCTGCAGGGTATGTGCATACTAACTTTGATCAATATGGCATGACAGCAGTGTGCTTATTCGAAAAAATAATTATCTCAATCTTCTTGTACTCTATCCTAAAAGCTCTCATCTTCACGACTTAAAAAAACCAACAAAAGAAAAAAGGCCAAAATTAATGTCAACAAAATATTTTAAGTTCTTCCAGCCACTTCTAGTAGGGCGAATCACTAATGAAATTAAGCTTGGTCTGAGTGGGCCATATTAATTCATTATCTTCCTCCACAATTCCACTGTCCTGCCCTGAAAGCCTCCATTTAATTAACCATCATTATCATTTCTTCCAGTTCTCAGAATTTCTTGACTTCACTCTTTAATTCCAATTAGCTACCAGATCCAGCTGCATCTACCTCAAAATCCTCTGTCCTTTCATTTATTCTTGTGTTTGTCATGCAGTGTGCTAGGCAGAGAGGACAATGATGAGTAAGACAGTCATAGTTTCTGCCATTATAATGGGGCCCCAGACAAGAGACAAAGTGAACAGGCAATTTCCATAACAGTCGTGTATACACACTGTTATGGTGAGGAAGGTGCAGAAAGTCCATGGAGATAATAAGTCTAGCTTTGAGTTGTCAGAGAAGTCTTCCCAGAGTATGCAGGTATATTCCACTCAACAAATTTTTATTTAACACTGACACTGGATAAGGCTTTCTGCTAGACTGCAGAGTTAGAAAGACACACTGTCCCTGCTCTCCTAGTACGTACAGGATGTCAGGGGAGGGGGAATAGACATAAAAATATAGGCACAAAATACCTGTTATGTATCTAATGTAACTATCAGTAACTCTCTCAGAGATCACTTTCCTCTAACATAAACCGTACTGGAGAATTAGAGGTTCGTCATTTTCCTACTAAAAAGTTCAACCAGCTCTGGAGGATCTAGTGCTCTCTCTACTCTGTCAATGTGTGGAGGGCCTTCTTCTGGGGACTTGTCTCTCATTCTCTCTCTAGGCCTGTAGTCAAGCCAGCAGCTGTGTTAACGATTACACTAAAGGAAGAGGACACTAAAACTGTCAGTTGAAGTAGTCTTTCCTTCACGATTTATGTGAAAAGAACCTGATTTATACATTCAACAAGTTTATGTTAGTAGTTCTCTGAACTGCCCAGGACAGATAAAACCTATCTACAGAGGTTTCATTTGAGTGAGGGAAACAGGCAAAAAATAAGCAAACATAACACTGCCAATATAATTGGAGGTAGAGGAGGGAAATAATCAGGAGACATCTGACAGCTTTTCTGGTAAAGTATCTTTGTGGGATCACTCTTGAAGGAAGTGAAACAGGTATTTGGGCTGAGACCCAAGACATGGGAAGAAACTGGCCTGTGAAAAGGCCAGACAAGAGACTACTTGTAGGCTAGGTGTGGTGGCATATGGCTGTAATCCCAGCTACTCCAGAGGTGGAGGTAGAAGACCATGGGCCAAGGATGCAGGACAAAAGGTGGAGACCCTGTCTTCAAAAAACTGACGCAAAAAAGGCTGGGGGCATTGCCTAAGTGGAAGAGCCAAGCAGGTGGCCTTCAGTTCAAACCACTTGAAACTCCTTCCAGGGGTCCCCTGCCCTCATGTCTTCACCTGATCTTGCTGTCCTCATGACGTGGTCACCATCTTTCAGGACAGCTTAGTCCTACCCACAGCCTGGGCTCCCTCGTTTGGGCCTGCTTCACCATCCAGGGATGGCTGGGCCTGTGTACATGAACTAACTGTTCTCACCGCCAGGCTGTGAACGCTCCCATCCAGAGATCCTGCTGTTCACCCCACCGTCCAATACTAAACCCTATTTCTTTGGTGTTACTGATGGCAGGGCCACTATTTGGATATTAATCGGGAAATCCTTTGTTTTCTTGTCCTGTTCCAGTCACCTGCTTATGTTGCCAGAACAAAGCGTTCTCAGCTTCCATTCATGAAGGTCAGAAAGCCACCAAACGACTTCAGAACCTTCTCAGAAACAGCTGTCCACAGGCTCCTGAGCGTGGGTGGAAGGCGCCGGGGTGACGTCACTCGAAGGCGGCGGGCGCTGCGCGGGCGTGACGCCGCGGGGGCGGGGCCGACCGCCGTGAGGTCACCTGGCGGGCGTGGCCAGGCCGAAGCCTGTGACGTCAGGGGAGGGGGCGGGCCTAGAGCGTGTCAGCGCAGCCGAATCAAAACAAGCCTGAGGACCCGCCTTTTCCCTCAGGCTCAGGAGCGTCTTGCTCGCGCCCCGGGCCCGCGGCGCCCGCGCGGCTGCGAGCCTCGGGTGGCCGCGCGCCGGCTCCAGGAAGCCGGGGAGGGCGCGGCGGCCGGGATGGCGCGACGCGGGCCGCGCGGCTAGACGGGCGTCCGTGCAGTCGCGGGCGGCGCCTTCCCGCCCGGAGCCGACGCCGCGGGGAAGCCGCCTTCGCTGACGCCGGGCACCCGTTCGCTCGCTCGCTCGCTCGCTCGCTTGCTCGCGAGATGCCCAACCCAAAAACAGCAAAGGCGGCCGTAAAAACAAGCGCGCCAACAGCAGCGGAGACGAGCAGGAAAATGGAGCCGGGGCCCTGGCCGTGGCGGGCGCGGCGGGCGCGGCGGCTGGGGGGGCCCTGGCGGCGGCGGCCGGCTGCGGGGCGGCGGTGCCGGGCGCGGCGGGCGCCGGGGGCGCGGCGGGCATCGGAGGCGCGGGGACTGGAGCCGCGAACGGCGCGGCCGCCGCGGGGGCCTTGGCCGCGGGAGACGCCAAGAACGGTGAGTCGGGGCCGGCGGGGCGAGCGCCAACTTCCTCCTCCCCGACGGGGCCGCGGGCGGCGCGTGGACAATGCGAGTCAGGAAGTGGCCGCCCGCCGCGGCGCTCCCCACGCCCGGCTGCCCGCGCGGGGCCGGGCCCTGTCCCGTCCCGTCCCGTCCCGTCCCGGGGTGCGCGGCTTGTGCGGCGGCTGGCAGGAGGAAGGAGGGCAGAGCCGCCCGAGTGAGGAGAAGGGTCCGATGGAGAAGTTAGGGACCACTCCATTCTTCCCAGTGCGCCCCACCCACCCTCTTCCCCCGCCCGGCTTGCTGCGGCGATGGCCCCGGGTGTAGAGGCCCCACGACGGCTTCGCCGAGGGCGATTGTGTGTGTGTTCTTTAATTCTCCAGCTTGCTTGAGGAAGGAAGAGAAGCTGAACTTGACTTCCGTTCCCAGCCCGGAGTTAAAAAAAAAAAATCCTCTGTGTAATTCTCGGCGTTTTAGGAAGGAGCCTTACCGCTTTGCGCAGTGCCTGATGCTCCTTTTGAGGGGACACGTGGGGGATACAAGGTGTGACAGTTTTCTGTTGTCACTGCAGAAGCATGGTTTTTGCTACAGGGCGCTGGGCACTCGTGTGAACAGTTCTTTGAGTTCCTATGGTCAGGGCAGATAGGTAGGTGTGTCCCGATGAAGGCAGATTAGGATCGTTGTGTCTGGCGTTAACACGCAGCGTTGAGCTTCTCAAGCCATTCTTTAGGTTGCTCATTCACTTTTTAAACAGGACACTTGCACCTCCAAGGACCCAGCCGTGCTTCCACCAGGGACATCGTAGGCCTCCCTGGCTGAGTCTTTGTAATTTTGAGATAGGAAGATATGATTTCTCTTCAGGAGCAAATTTACCCACTTGTAAAATGTTTATTAATCCTCGTGGCCAGCCTGCATTCTCCGTGTTCTTTTGTTTTCCTGACTCTAACCTTCGTTTCCATAGTGATGTGTCAGCGAGGAAGGTGCTCAGACTCTGGGTAAGGCAGACTCCTGGTCCAGCTGTTTAGATTTGACAGCGTGGGAAGGTCAGGCCTTCAGAGCCTCCGTTTCCTCATGTGTAAAATTGAAGAAGAAAAATCCCACTGGTCCCTCAGAGGGTTATTATGAGACTCAGAGTGCCCCTTCCCTGTCCAGTCCCCGTTCTTGTTTTAAAGGCTGTGTGTAATGAGCTTAGTAGAGCTCCTCACAGATAATACATGATCAATGAATAATAGCTATTATTTATTCATTCAAAAAGTATTAGCCACACACAGAGCGGCCGTGCCAATACTGGGGATATGGTGGTGACCCCTGTGGGGCAGCCTGCTGCTCTGGAGCCTGCATTCTGGATCTGGCTTACCATGCTGGTGTTCTGGTGTGTGAAAGCTTTAAGTTGGCTGTTTACTTTTTTCTAGACTTGAAAATTTCAACCGCTTTAAAGTAGTGTGAGGAAGTTTTTTTTCTTAGGCAGGTGGCACCTTCTACTTCAAAAACGTTAAACTGATTATGCTGCCCCTTCTACTCATTTTTGTTGTGGTAAACTGAGGTAGACTTAGCCATACAGTGTAAAGCTATGCATTTCTGATTAGAAGCTTATTTGATTTTACTTTTTTTTCTTTGAGACAGGATCTCACTGTGTAGCTCAGGCTGGCCTGGAACTGTTTTGATTATCTTCCCTCAGCTTCCCAGGTGGTGGATTACAGACCTGCACCACCACACCCAGCAGTAGCTTGTTTTATTGAATGAATGGGGAAGAAGAAGAAATGGCCCAAACAGTGTCATAATCAGGGTCACAGAAGCTGCAGAATTAGAGCAGTCAGCTGAGTTTTATGATAATCAGTTTTTGGTTGTGACATGGAGTGGTGTCTCAGTGATTCATTGTAATTTGAAGGACCCTTCACTGCATTTCTGCAGCAGATAATAACTGAACATGGATGCTGAGGCCTCCTAGATGCAAAATGAATGAATAAGAAAAGTGAAAATGCTGTTAAAATTGTAAGGTACTGGTAATTTTTTTAAACACAGGGTTTTGTTATGTAGCCCAGGCTGGACTCAAACTTTTTTTGTATCTGTTAAACTTTTGAATGGTTTGTACTGACCCATCGAGTCAGTTTTAACCTGTGTAGTTGTTCACGATTTGTAGAATGATCCTGTGTCTTGTAGCTGTTGGGCAGTGGGGCCATTAGGGGCAAGGTAATATTAGCTCTTGGTTGTTCATTCTAGATAAAAATAATTATTATTCTATAAAAAAAAAAAAGATGGCTAATTAGGGAAAGCCTGAGGGGAGCTGTGGTATGGTTGTAGTTGAAGAAGTTCACCTGGTTGCCTAAGTTTAATAACAATATGAAATGTAAGGAAATTGTACCTGTAAAACTTTATTACATAACTAGTTTTTAGATGCTACTTTATGAAGCTTTTTGCAGGAATTGGAGTAAAAAGCAAGGCAGCGTAAGGAAGTACCATCCTCCTATGTAGTGAACACCTGTCTGTACATACTGTAACAGTTTGATTGTAGGTGAACAAAATTCTGAAATTCTGGTTCCATTGGGCCTCTGATTTTTTTTTGCTTCAGTCCTAAAGATATATGAAACCTTGATCATGGTGTGTATCTGGTTTTCAGTTGTCCTGATCCAAAGTACTTTTGTAAATCCCTGTTTTGTGTTTGAGTGTGGATCACCATACCACTCAGGCCTGACTGCCACAGAACCCCTGAGCTGACTCAACCTTCAGTCATCTAACAACTCTTTATAGCAGATGGAATTGGTCAGTTGCCTTGTATTTGGTAGACCTAGGTTCAGATTGGCTTCTCAGGTGTGCGTGCGTGTGTGTGTGTGTGTGTGTGTGTGTGTGTGTGTGAGAGAGAGAGAGAGAGAGACTGGGATTTGAACTCAGGGCTTTGCGCTTGCAGAGCAGGTGCTTTACCACTTGAGCCACACTTCCAGTGTACCTCAGACATTTTGATAAATGACTTTGGTAGTTAAATGTGTCTTAGTTTCTGCAAATGTAACTAATGTATGGGATTATAGTTCCTACCCATACATATGTAGAAGTGTATTTTATTGTATATAACATAGTAAATACAGATTATATTAGAACAGTGCCAGACTTACAGCATGAGCTTATGAAGTTAGTTATTTATTTCAGGTTCTGTGAATAACCTCTGAGACAAACAACTACTTGTAGGTGGTAGATTAGTGCGAGGGAGAAGGAAGCAGGATTGGGCAGAAGGAGAGTAGAACTCTGTTGCAGATGTACTGCAGGAGAGGCTGTGGAGCTGGGATGGCCCTTAAGAGTACCCCACCTTGTCACATTGGGGCAGGGCCTTTATTCCCTCAGTGACTAGTCATTTGGACATGGGCTGCCCACTGGAAGAGGGCTGAACTCTTAACTGCCCCAGTGTTACTGGGTTCTTTGCTTAGCCACCATCATGACACTAAAAGGCAGTGTGGGATAACTGTTTCTTACTAACAACTAAATAGGTTTTGTGGACCAGACTGGGAGTTAGCTACCATACGACATTATTTTGATGGGAAGATGTGTTCTGAATCCCATCCATCTATTTTCAAGTAGGTGTTTTTGTATGATTATCTCTTCCTTGTGAGCAAGATTCATATTTTGTTGTATCTTGAGGCCACTAAACACTTTTTATAACATCAGGTGTGTTTTAAATGGATTGTCATTTTAGATGTTTACCTTAATTCCTACTACGTTTATAAATTACCCATGTTATCAGAAGGGAAATGAAGAGTGTTTGCCTGCTGTTTATTTTCAGATCAGGGAATGTCCAGCTTGAGGGTCTAAGGATAGTAGAGAAATGTGATCTTAGAGGACATTTTCTTGCCTTCCTAGAAGTAAGTTTTGCTAGATCTTTAAAAATACTTGTCACTCTTGGACATTTGTCGTTTTTGAGATAAGGTATGTGTGTAGCACAGGCTGGCTTCAAGCTTGGATCCTCCTGCTTCTATCTCCTGAGTACTAGGATTATAGTCATGTACCACAAAACCTGGCCAGTTGTCTTTTGAAATATACCTTTGCAGTGGGGATTGGTAGAAGATACTGCCTCATCCATCAAAGATTATTCAGTGTAGTTTTTATATTATAGTGAAGAAATGCTCTGTGCTCTGCTAGTGAGTTTTATGCATAATCTTTATTCCTTCTTTGTTGTCATAGGACCTGTGCTTATGTTTTACAAACTAAGCAAACTGTCAGTGTCAGCTTTTCTATAAACCCAAGATTACATACCAGCCTTGTGAGAATTGAGAACAGGAAGTAAACAGGACAGGGTAGTGCATGCCTATAATCCCAGCACTAGTGAGACCAAGGCAGGAGGATCAAGAGTTCAAGTCTAGTGTGGGCTGCCTAGAGAGGCCCTGTCTTCAAGACCGAAAATATACCTCCCCCCAAAAAAACCAAAAAGCCCTGAGATAAAATTGGGATATCTCCTGGAGCTGAATCCTTGAATGAGTTTGCTTTAGGCTTTCAACTGTGTATAAGTTTACTTAAGGAACTTGAAGGTAACAGAGGGAGAATTTAAGAGGAAAATAAAAAATCTACTCTGATTTGTGATCACCAACTCTGGCATTCCTAAGAGATTTATTTAATTAAAAATAGTGATTTGGTTTGGGGATGTAGCTCAGAGGTAGGGTGCTTGCCTAGTGCATATGAGGACCTAGGTTTGATTCCCAGCACTGCAAAAAAAAAAAAAGTATCATTTTATCAGTAATAAAGTAAGCATTGTGGAGGTGGGTGGTAAGGGAGGGGGTGGGGGAAGGGGGGAGAAATGACCCAAACATTGTATGCACATATGAATAAAAAAAAAAGTAAGCATTGTGGAAAATCTTAAACACATAATCCCACCACTTAAGAGATCACAAGTTAACATTTTGATTTATGTGTTTGAAGCCTTATATAATTTTTGCATATAGACTTTTTAAAGTGCGTACATAGTTTTCACAAAAAGAAGATTACGTATATTATAATTTGATTTTTACACTTAATAT